GGAGGAAAGGGCAGAGCCAGGAATCCACCAAAGGATATTTATCCTTTTTGGGGAGGAAAGGACAGAGGATATTTAAGCTGGAAAGCAGAGCATTACACCCCAAACTTCAACCTGGCTTTGCTCTACCAGACCAAGCCACGGCCAGACTAAAAAATAAAACAACGGGAAAAGTTTTGGTAAAAAAACAAGAAATGGGAGAAAAACCTGCAGGTGGCAAGAGCAGAGGCCTCCAGTGGCACACCTTAAACTCATCTGAGATCTCTGACACGAAGGAGGAGATCTGCTTCATGAGCCTGTCCACGCTGCTCTCGCTGCCCGTCTTGAGCAGCGTGGTGATGGCCAAGGTGGCGATGCTGCGGTTGGAGTCGGTGATCAGGTTCTCCAGGTCCAGGTTGCAGGCAGTGACTGCAGAGGGGTGTTTCATGGCCACCTGCAAGCAAAGGCAAAGCCCCAGTTACACGGCAGCAACATCCCAAAGGCCAAAGATTTCGGGTGCGAGCGAGGCTCCGCTCAAAGATTTTGACGCAACGCGCGGGTTCTTTTGTGTCAGCATTTCGAGCGACAGTTTGAGTCACAAAGTGCTGCTCTAAAAGCAAGATGTTGCTTCCTTCCCAGGGATTTTGCAGGGTTAAATAGCCAGCACTCTGCTTCCTCATGGCTGAGAGCTCACAAGTTACCAAAGCACAGCTCGTTGTAGCCCCCCACGTGGTCCAAAAATGAGCAAGCGCGGCCTGGATGCAGAAAGGATTTCTGACACCCCGGGATATCCGGCATGGGAAAGGCAATTCTCCAGCCTGGAGCAGCTCCAGACAGAGTAATCACATCGTTGGGCACTGCTGGGTTGCTGTGGAGGTTAAAACTTGAGGTAGCTCAGAGGTTTTGGGAGCACTCACTTTGTTCAGGGTGCGAACGGCCGCGTACCTCAGGACGGGCTTGGAGGAACTACAGAAAAGCTGCAACACTGGGAAAGGAAAAGAGAGTTTCTTTCAAAGGAAGGGAATAGAGAGGGAAATCTAATCTGTCTCCATTCAGCCATGCTAAATATTCATGCAGCCCTGTGCATAATTCAGCAGGTTAAAAATAACCTCCTGGGTTTTATCTCCTGGTCAACAACAGGGGGGTGGCACAGTTGGCTGGGGCACGGCTGGGCATCCAGTTCTCTTCTAATTCCCAGGGCCTAAAGGGGCTCCAGGAGAGCTGGAGAGGGACTGGGGACAAGGGATGGAGGGACAGGACACAGGGAATGGCTTCCCACTGCCAGAGGGTGGGGATGGATGGGATATTGGGAAGGAATTGCTGGCTGGGAGGGTGGGGAGGGTCTGGAATGGATTTCCCAGAGAAGCTGTGGCTGCCCCTGGATCCCTGGGAGTGTCCAAGGCCAGGTTGGAGCAACCTGGGACAGTGGAAGGTGCTGGGGTTAAAACTGGATGGTCTTTAAGGTCCTTTCCATCCCAAACCATTCCAACACTCCCTCCCACCCCAAATTCCCACAGCTGGACAAAGGCAAGTCCCCCTGTGCCACCTCTGCTGCCCATTCTCCAAAGCTCGGGATGAAACACGGAAAAGGGATCCAAGTGCTTCTCACCCAAAAGCCCTTTAACTTGGGCACGAGCACTAAACTCAGGGCTTGGGTGTTTTATTCATGCTGTACTGTCCCTGTTGTGCTTCACTGCCCTTTTTGGGGTGTCTGAGGGGTGCAGAGGGCCCGGCCCCACCTGACACGGCGGGTGCCAGCTCCCTGGCAGTGCAGTTGGGGAGGTGGATGATGGCAGAGGCGGCTTCATAAATCACCATCTCGTGCTTGTTCCTCAGGCAGCTCTCGATGAAGTCGAACAGGGGACTCTCGTGGCTGCGAAAAGAACCGTTTGGGCTGGAAAAACACCTCTCCAGGATCATAGAATCATAGAATCAGTCGGGTTGGAAGGGACCTCTGAGATCATCCAGTCCAACCCTTGATCCAACCCCGCCGTGGTTCCCAGCCCATGGCACTGATGCCACATCCAGTCTGTCCTTAAACACCTCCAGGGATGGAGAATCCACCACTTCCCTGGGCAGCCCATTCCAGTGGCTGAGCACTCTCCATGGAAAACATTCCTTCCTGATGTCCAACCTGACCCTGCCCTGGCACAGCTTGAGGCCGTGCCCTCTTGTCCTACTGCTGGTTCCCTGGAGCAGAGTCCGACCCCCCCAGCTCCCCCCTCCTGTCAGGGAGTTGCAGAGAGTGAGGAGGTCTCCCCTGAGCCTCCTCCTCTCCAGGCTGAGCCCCCCCAGCTCCCTCAGCCTCTCCTCACAGCACTTGTGCTCCAGTCCCTTCCCCAGCCTCGCTGCTCTTCTCTGCCCCTCCAGCCCCTCCAGGGCCTTCCTGAGCTCAGGGCCCAGAGCTGGACACAGCACTCCAGGGGTGGCCTCCCCAGCGCTGAGTCCAGGGGCAGAATCACTTCCTTGGACCTGTTGGCCACACTGTTCCTCAGCCAGGCCAGGATCCATTGGCCCTCTTTCCCCCCTGGGCACCCTCGGGCTCCTCTTCAGCTCCCTGCCCAGCCCAACTCCCAGCTCCCTTCCTGCCTGGCTGCTCTCCAGCCCCTCTGGCCCAGCCTGCAGCTGCAGGGGCTTCTTGTGGCCAAAGGGCAGGACCCGGCCCTTGGCCTTGGGGAACCTCAGCCCCTTGGAATCAGCCCATGGATCCAGCCTGGCCAGGTCCCTCTGCAGAGCCCTCCTGCCCTCCAGCACATCAACACTCCCCCAGCTTGGGGTCACCTGGAATGTGCTGATGGTTCCCTCCATCCCCTCCTCCAGATCCTCAGTGCAGACACTGAACTGGGCCCAGCCCTGATCCCTGGGGACACCCCTGGGGCCGGATCCCAGCTGGATGCAGCTCCATCCCCACCACTCTCTGGGCCCTCAGCCAGTTCCTCACCCAGCCCAGAGTGCCCCTGGCCAAGCCCTGGCTGCAGCTTTTCCAGGAGCCCAGCCCTCACCCCAGCACTACCCTACACGTGCACCACCTTTCACGTTTCAACCCCGCCCTTACCTCAGAGCTCTAAATTTATTGTTATTTTATTCATCTATACATGATTTCCCTCCCACCAGAAACGCTGCACTCTACAAATAAACACTTCTACCAGTACTTAGAGAAGTGCACTAAAGAGCCCAGCTCTCAATTAACAATCTCGTGCTGGGATCATGGAAAAGGGATTGGGATTTTCCGAAACAGTCGTGTTATTTCCCACAAGTCACAACTCTTGTTTTCCAAAGATAAAAAAAAAAGGGGGAAAAGGAAAAGCAGGAACTTGTTCTGAAGCTTTAAGCGCTCCCAGGATACCACTAATAAAAATTCCAGCACCCAGCTGAGTCATTCTGCCCCTGGGTTTCGTTTTCACACAACAGTCCTGCCTCTGTGTGCGTTTTTAAACGTTAAAAAACCGCTGCCGTTGGCCTCAAATCCTAATTAATTTGTGTTAATTAATTAATTGCCCCTTGCCTTACCCCTCCTCGGACTCCCTGAGGAGCTTGCTGGCGATCCTGATGAGCATGCAGTAGGCAAACTGGGATTTGAGGCCGGACTTGGTGAATTTGTTGAGCATTTTGGACACGGCGAGCCGGTCGTTCCTCCTCAGGTGGTAGAGCACCCCCAGGGCGTGGTACTGCGGGAGGGGGAACACAGGGACAGGCTCTGGAAGTTGATTTGACTGCCCAAAGGTTTGCTTGGGTGTCTCTTTTCCCCCTCCCCTCATCCCTTTTCTCCGCCTTCGTTCTCGGTTTGGGGAATGGCCAAAAAAGAGAAAGGCGACATCCTTCCTTCTAGGAACGAAGGTGGATTGACAGCGTTGGTCACTTGAAGGGTCACTTTTTTTGATTCAGCCAGGACTGCCTGGGATTTCAGGAACCAGGAAGGTCCGGGGAAAGCTCCCTTCACACACCAAAAAAGGGGGAATCGTTCCTGTTTTCCGGGAGAAATCCCTCCCGAGCTCCGAAGGGATGAGTCTCCCGAGGGATTTGTGCCAAGAGCTGCAAGGTTTCCACCCTAAAACCCTCCAGGTGGTCTCAACCCAAGCACCCTCGAGGATTTCTGAAGATCCAAAGGGCCCCAGAGGTGATTTATCCCCTTTTCTCCACTTTAAATATAACTTCAGCTCACTATATATATAATATATACAATAATATAGAATAATATAATATACTAATATATCATAATATACAATATAATGTACACAATAATTGGATATATTATATAGGCAGCTGAAGTTATATATAAGATATAAAATATATATATACAATTGTATGTATGTTGCATATACAATATATATAATATATTGTATATATTATACATAGAAGAGCAATTAAAAATGATTGTAAGATTATATATAATTATATATATATTATATATATACATAATATATAATATACTAATGTAATACTGTAATATACAATATAATATACACAATAATTATATTATATTATATTATATATATTATATTATATATATTATATTATATATTATATAGTGAGCTGAAGTTATATACAATATATACAATATATATACAAAATTGTAAATATATTATATATACTATATATGTTATATAGTATATATAATAGCATATTAATTAAGAATGATTATAAGATTATATATAATTATATATACATTACATATATGTAAAAAATAATATAATATATTTAATTATATATAATAATTATATAAACATTATATATAATGAGATATAACATTATCTACTGTTAGAATATATTATAAAATATATAATTATAATCACCAATACATAACATATTATACATTAATACAATAATTATATTACTGTATTATATATAATGAATATATATACACTATATATAATTGTACATAAGATTATATATATAATTATATATAAATGATTATAAGAATAACAATATATAAGAATGATTATAATATAATATAAAATTAAGAATATTATTAATATCATAATAATAGTAAGACTATAATATTATAATAAGAACAATAATGCAATTTTATTTGTATATATTATATATAATAGAATAGCAATTAAGAATGATTAAAAGATTATAATTATATATATCATTATTTATACATAATATAAATATATGATAATGTAGTATATTACATGCAATTATATATATAATAATTATATATACATAATATATAATTACATATATAAATATACATATTATATATAATTATATATAAGAACGACAATATATAAGAATTATTATAATATAAAATTAAGAATTTTATTAATATTATAATAACATTAAGACTATAATATTATAATAAGAATAATAATGTAATGCTTCTTTTATATACTTAGTATATATTATATATAATAGAATAGCAATTAAGAATGATTAAAAGATTATATATAATTATATATATCATTATATATACATAATATATATAATATATGATAATGTAGTATATTACATGCAATTATATATATAATAATTATATATACATAATATATAATTATGTATGTAATTATACATATTATTTTATATAATTATATATATAAGAATTATTATATATAAGAATGACAATAAATAAGAATGATTATCATACAATATTAAGAATATTATGAATATTATAATATTAATACTATATTATTATATGAATAATAATGTAATGCTACTTTTATATACTAAATATATTATTAATATATTAATATTAACACACAATAACAATATAATAATGATTATATATAACATGTAACCATCACACTGCCCAATAAAACTTGAATTTCTATCCCACTCCACACACCCAGGGTATCCCCCAAAGCCTTGAAAGGACCACAAAAATCCCCCAGGGATTTATGCTGGCAGCACAAAGGAACATTCCCACAGCTGCTCGGAATATTTGGGGGAAAATGCTGCTGCCATGGATATTTGACTGATATTTGGGGTGATCTTTGGGGGTCCTGGAGCAACCGGGAGATCTTGGGAAGGCCAAGGGCCGTTCGCTGGGAGATGATCTCCTGTGGGATTCGAGCACTCGGATTCAAAGCCCTGAGGAAGAGGCAGAGCTATCCCACTGTTTACCAGGGAAAGGGAAGAGGAATGCACTCCAGAGCCAGCCCTTCATTAATGAACAACCTCGGGCCGGGAGCGTGGAAAAACGCGGGATTTTTTGGAACGGCCGAGTCACAACTCTCGTTTTTCAGAGGATAAGGGGAAAACGAGAACCGGGTACTTTTTCCAAGGGTTTCTGTAAGAATTCCCAGGATACCACTAAAACCCCGGAGCGTGTTTAGGGTCCCTCCCAAAACACACCTGCACCATGATGTTGTCACTGGAAGCTGCTTCCTGGGCTTCGTTGATCCACCGTTTGACCACGTCGTAGCTGATCTTCATCATGTGCTGCAAGAAGCCACAAACTGAGACTGCAAACAAACCCACCTCTTTATCCCACACAACCATAAACCAAGTGTTTATTATGTTTCAGTCTCAAACTACCACGTTTTCATCTCCTTTTAAATCAAAATATTCATTAACGAGAGCTTTCCCTGCCTTTTTTTCTCCCACGCGAGGGAGAGGAAAATAAGAGTGAACTTCTTCATCTTGCCCTCCTGGCAAAAGTGAACCTGAAGGGGTTAAATCCTTAAAACCTTAAAAAAATAATCTTTAGGGCAGTGGTTTCATGGCCCCTCCCTGCATAAATTAATCTTCTGGACTAATTGGGAGAGAGGTGATGAGATTTTGTAGTAAATTATTATAATTAACGTGCTCTAAAGGAAGAGAATGTTGAAGGAGTTTGAGAAGATAAAAGGAAACTCCACTGCCACTGGTTTTATGTCCCAGGGAGGAGATGAAGGGTCATCTCAAAGGGAAAAGGAGGTGAAGACTCGTCTCAAGGGAAAAGGAGATGGAGACTCAACTCAACGGAAAAGGAGATGGAGACTCAACTCAAAGGGAAAAGGAGATGGAGACTCATCTCAAGGGGAAAGGAGATGAAGAAAGAACCAAACAGACAAACCCCAGCCCAGGAGTTTGAGGAGCCAAAGGAAACTCCATTGCCACTATTCTTATGTCCCAGTGAGGAGATGAAGGGTCATCTCAAGGGAAAAGGAGAGGAAGGGTCATCTCAAGGGAAAAGGGGATGAAGGGTCAGCTCAAGGGAAAAGGGGATGAAGGGTCATCTCAAGGGAAAAGGGGATGAAGGGTCATTTCAAGGGAAAAGGGGATGAAGGGTCATTTCAAGGGAAAAGGAGATGAAGGGTCATCTCAAGGGAAAAGGGGATGGAGACTCAACTCAAGGGAAAAGGGGATGGAGACTCAACTCAAGGGAAAAGGGGATGGAGACTCATCTCAAGGGAAAAGGACATGAAGGGTCATCTCAAGGGAAAAGGAGATGAAGAAAGAAGAAAACAGAGTAATTCTAGCCCAGCCTTAAAATAATTTGGTGCTTTACTTACCAGGGAAGACACCAGAGCAGAACTGGACACACTGGGGACTTTGTCCACGATGGCTTGTTTCATGTATCTCTCTATGGCCTGCAACATTGTTCCCTGGGAAGGGGAAAAGAAGGGAAAAAAAGAAGTGTGGGTACTCTGGAGGAAGAGAATAAAAGAAGCAGAAATAAAAGCACCCTTTTGTGGTTTAAATCCCAGAGCAGGGAGGTGGTTTATACTCACGTCAGTGATCCTGCACAGCGCTCGGATGGCCGGCCCACGGTAAACATCCTCCTTCCCTGTCATGTCTTTGGTCAGACTGCAATAATCACAGACAGCCTGTTAGAATTGCCTTAATATCTCCGTGTTTTGTGATAGATCTCCTTTTATGTCTTCTTTAATATCACCTTAAACCATCTCATTGACACCTCCTTTAATATCTCCTTAGACATCTCCTTGACCATTTCCTTGACATCTCCTTGACCATTTCCTTGACACCTCCTTGACCATTTCCTTGACACCTCCTTGACCATCTCTTTAAACCA